AATTACGAGTGACATTTCTTTGCCATAAGATAAGATGGCTATTTCCCTCTCATTATCGATTAATATCGTCTCATGTGAATTCAATAATTTAAGCAATTATTATTTGCGATTAAATGTTTCTTCTATTGGTGAGACAAATGCATAGCAGTTGTTAAGAACAAGATACGTGCTATTGTTTATAGCTTGACCAATTTATAGATAGCAGTTTGATTTTCCCCCCATTAATTTATAGTATATAAGCATTTCATATTGGGGAATAGTGAACAAAATTATACTGACATTTCATTTAGTAGTTAGTTGATACGACGTTCCCCTATTGACTAAGTCGTTTTATCGCCATGTTTATTACAATTACATTGACATTATTCAAGTCGTCCTTTGATTCTTCTTTTTTTTTTAAAAAAATGATAAAGAAAAAATATTCACTTAAAAGATCTCCCATTTCTTTCTTACCTAAATCTCAAAAGCACCTCCTTTTTCTTCTATCATATTCCTACCATGATTAGAAGAGAGTGAAAAGTCAAATGGGCTAGAGCCTAGACAAGATTGCAGGGGGTGAAAATTTCCAATTTGGCGTATGAGGTTGTAATGATTTTGTCCTATCAATATGCTCATTCGTTCCGTCCCAAACAATTGTCAAGTTTATTATAACGAGCGAGTATAACTATTTTTATAACAAGTTAATACAATGTCATTCTTGATGCTTTTGGAACTATTACTTGCATATGGTTAAACCTCCAAAAACTGTTGACGTCTTTCTTGTGGTATGAAAATTCCATAACAAAGCTTTCACATCGTAGTTTTTTGCCGTCCCATAATAACATATTTGTATCTAAAACTGAAGAAACAAAATCATTATTATGAGAAGGTGAAGATTAGTTATATTTGATGGGTAGTGAGATAATAGTTTGATAAAAAAATTGGCTGAAACTTTTGAAGCGAGTTAGCTAGTTCACAGTTCAAACCCCGAAAATGGCAAAATCAAATAATAGACAACAATAACGACCTAATAACTAAAAATAAAGCAGTTAGTCCATCCATCAATTAAAGCCGTTTGATTCATACATAAAGAAGCAAAAAATAATGTGACATGAAATGGAAAGAAATAGTATTGACAATTGACAAATTCTTCATGAAATGGAAAGCCTACATAGGTCCCCTGTCCACCACCATAACTAACTATAAAAATAAAATAAAAAAGAGACAGTAATTATAAGTGTCGGTGATTAATTATCCCATGTAAATTCTGAGTCATTTAATTAATCATAGTAAAAAAAAGTGCTAATTGAGTGCAATATCTATGCACTTTTATATTGTAGATTGTAGTGCTTTTCAATGAAGGGGTATTATAATATATGTAGTATATTTGCACTTGAAGATGTACGACAAATAGGGTTCTATTCAGATGGAGATATTCCTTGTACATTTGCATGATTGGACGTCCAATTAGTCGATGATACTAGCTAGCCCAACTATATATATTTCTCCACATTTTTCAAATCTTTTTTTTTTTTTTAAAAAAAAGCTGTATGTTCGAAAATTCAGAATTAATTTATTTGAAAAATAGTGGTTTTTTTTTTTTTTTGGTTGCCTGCCACGGGTTCCGGAACTTTGCCCCGACTAATCCGTTGAAAAAAGTGGTTAATTTGCTATCAACTACTCCCTTAGTGATCTTAATGATTATTGATTAATATCGGAATTTGGAATGTTAATAAACAGCTGAAGGGGTTTTGTGATGAATATTGAATTTTGTTCGATTAGGAAAGCCGAACTTTGTGATTTGTTTCAAAGATTGAAAGTGGGGAAACGAAGTTAGAACGAGACAACAGATGACCATGGTGCAAAATGAAGAGGATCGTACGTTTTCATATGCACGAATTGTATGGGCATTTAGGGATTTGATTGGGATGTTGAATTGTTACATATATATCTATATACTGGTTAATTACACACAACCAATTATCTGAATTAGTTGTTCTAAAAATGATTTTTTTTTTATATATTTGAATTTTCGCTTTGTACAATTTGTACTATAAATAATGAAAATATAAATTGGACAATCATTTTAAGTCGGAAAAAAAACTTTTTGAATGGATTTAGTTCACCTTGATTAACCCAGCAAATAAAGTCTTAACTCGGTTACAACATAATGCGAGTTTTATTCCCATAACTTAATCTTATTATGTACCAAAAGAAACTACTTAAAAATAAAGGTACGATGCGTGAGTTCTGTTTCGTTTTTTTTTTTTGTAAACCATAGCCTACTTTTTTTTTTTCTTTTAATCATGAAATACATATTCCCTCCGTCCAAAAAAAATAGTCCATATTGAATTTTGAGTTTTGATACAAATTTAAAAACTCTATGTGAAATATTTTTTTGGGACGGATGTAGTAATATTTTACTTTGTGATATTGAAGGTCAACTGATCATGTATTAATCACTCCTCTTTTCGAGATTAATAAATATTTTAAATAAGATTTTTTTTATGCGTCAAAATGATGGTAATTCACGACATCAACTACTGTACTAGCCAGCATAAACTATTGTTCACTGTTTTGAAAAATAAAGATGCAAATGAAAAAAAAAATGTATATATAAGAAAATGTACTTAGTCAAATGAACTATTTTTATGAGACGGAAGCATATGAAGTACAATATTTTATCAAGGTTGCTTGGTGAGGAGTAAATTAACTGGATAATTGTGCAGTTAGTAACTCGCAGTGTTGGCATCAAATTTGTCAAAATTGTCATCACTGGTTGGCACTGTTGTTTTATTATAGTTCATCATTAAGCACTTTGGAATTGCACTGTTGGCATCAAAATTGTCATTAGTCATTCAACAACAAAAGTAATACTATATCTTTGGTTGTCTGTGGGGATCGGCCACATATTTTAATCTATTATATTCACATAATATATATGTCCAAAACAAATACTGGGTAATTAATGGCAAATAGGCATAAATTACTCGTATTTGGTCTTGGTAAAAGGGTTTTCAGACAGGTTCAATTTAAATGTAGTTTATCTTTTCTCCTGCACTGTTCTAAGTCATCACAAGTACAGTTTCGTACTGATTAATTTGATTTTCGTTCCTCATTTATGAAGTTGTTTTAGTTTTATTCTTTATAATGTGACCTTTTCTTTCTTTTTAAAAAAAATTATAAAAGAACTATGAAATACCCTAAGTAAGCTCAAACTAATTTTCGTTTGACCTAATTTAGCATTTTATTTTTTTTCTGAAAAAAAATCATATACGGAGTATACTCCTCCCTTCGCGCGTCCCACAAAAATAGTTCACATTGAGTTTTGAGTTTTGTACTGTTTTTAGTACAAATTTGAAAATTTAATGTGGACTATTTTTTTTTTTTTTTGGGACGGAGGTAGTATAAGATTTATTTTTCGGATGAAATGTGATTTTGCAGTTAGTAACTTTCACAAATCTTAAACGTAAGACCGGTCAAACCAAAAGGTTGAAGTAATAACAAGTACCTATTCAAATCAAAGTAGCTAGCTAGATAGGGTTGTTTCATCTTTGATCAAATGAGATACGAATCTGGTTGATTAACTTTTCAATTTCTCAAAAGTACTCGTTGCTAGTTACACTTGATTAAGATTATTGTAAAAAAACTGAACCGAAATTTCTACAAATGGACAGCTAACTAACAGTTTTGTTTTCCCTTTATATCTCCACTCTAAATTTCGAACATAATTAAGCTCTTGTTTATTTATTTATTTTTTTATTTTTTTCATTTTTTGGGCTGTCAAAGAACAAGAATCCACATGTATACAGGTAGATTTATACCTGCCTCTACCGTGAGAGATTCTTCACCTATTCAAATACCAAAATGTATTCTCATTATCAATAAAGAACAACATCGATCACAGCATCATATATACTAATCGCCTTATCAGTTTGTTCATTTTAGTTCCTCGATTCAGGTTGGTTTCTTATCTTTAAAATAATCTCAAAGTGGCATTAATTAAGAGATTATGATTATCATTGATAAAATAATCGAATCTTTTGGTTAAAATTTAGTACAACAAACAAATCGAAACTCTTAGTATTAAACATCAAAATATCTACGTTCGCGACTACGTGAGAGAGTTCAATACATGAATAACACATTGTATTGCGTTGCATGCATGATCTAAAACAATTGTTTTGATATTTCTTGATAAATGCTCCATTCCGCATGTATACTTTTCTGTGAGGTAGGATCTTATTGTATTTCTATCCTTTTTTTTCAATTTTTTTTTAGTTGTATCGAATCATCGAGATTACATATACTCTCTCCATCCTGAAATTAGTGTCCAGTTTAAATATTCATTTTTAGTACAAAATGAATTAAAAATAAAAATCTAAACTGAATAATTATTTTGAGACACAAGTAATAATTGATTTTAATTGCAACGAATAACATTGATGATGTTCGCCAGAGATACCGCCTTAGTTTTCTTAAATTGCTTAAACAAATCCTTGCTTTTTTTTCAAAATTAATGGTCAAAACATATTAAACCATGCACCAAAGCTCTTCAATTCAAAATCTGTTCAAAGTCATCATCATTTATGGGGTGGTGGCTTTGTTGCATGCCATGAAAGAAGGTAAGTCGTGATCAAAGTCCTCTCTCACAACAAGTGGGGTAAGTGCTCGAGAAAGACACCCCCAAAAAAAAACCCCCCAAAATCTAAGAAAAAAACAGAGACAAAAAATCAATGGAAGATTCAACAAATTATATTATCAGCTGACAAAATTAACGGCAAAAACTACCACAGTGGAATTAAATTGGAAAAAAAAAAAATCTTTTCACAATCTCCGTAAAACCGGTAAATCAAGGTGGGGCCCCGTCGTCCAGTCGGGCCCCCACCATGTTCGTTAGTTTAATCCTAATCACGCCTTCTTCTCCGGCTCCTTTTCCCACCACTTTATAAACCCCTCCTCTGCCCCTTCCATTTCTCCCCACTGAGAATCACTTCATCAGAAAAAACAAAAAAAACACCATGGAAATCCCTTCAAGATTTTCCCTCATTTTCTTCATCATTATCTGCATTTTAATCCCAACCCTCATTGTCTCTTCTTCCCCTGTTCAAGACCCTGAATCCGTTGTACAAGAAGTTCAAAGGTACATTTCCAATTTTTTTTAATCCAAATTTGTTGTAATTTGCTTTGTTTTTGGTTTGCATTTTTTCTAATTGATTGAATTTTGAGTAATGCAGGAGCATTGTGAATGCTACAAAGCACCTGGCTAAAACCCGGAGGAATTTGGGTTACCTCTCATGCGGAACCGGAAACCCGATTGACGACTGCTGGCGGTGCGACGCGAATTGGGAGAAGAACCGACAGCGTCTCGCCGATTGCGCAATTGGGTTCGGGAAAAACGCCGTCGGCGGCCGGGACGGGAAGATTTACGTCGTGACGGATTCCGGCGACGACGATCCCGTCACCCCGAAACCGGGAACTCTCCGGTACGCCGTCATCCAGGACGAGCCGTTGTGGATCATCTTCGCACGTGACATGGTAATTCAGCTGAAAGAAGAGCTAATTATGAACTCTTTTAAGACGATCGACGGCCGGGGGGCCAGCGTTCACATCGCCGGCGGGCCGTGCATTACGGTTCAGTACGTTACGAATATTATTATCCACGGGATCAATATTCATGACTGTAAGCAAGGCGGGAATGCTAATGTGCGGAGCAACCCACACCATTACGGGTGGAGGACCATATCGGACGGTGACGGTGTGTCGATCTTCGGTGGGAGCCACGTGTGGGTTGATCATTGCTCCTTGTCCAACTGCCACGATGGGTTGATCGATGCGATCCAAGGGTCCACAGCTATTACCATTTCCAACAATTATTTCACTCACCATGATAAAGTTATGCTTTTTGGCGCCAATGATGGTTATACTCAAGACAAGAATATGCAAGTCACCGTTGCTTTTAACCACTTTGGTGAAGGCCTTGTTCAAAGAATGCCAAGGTAAAAACAATAATAAAAAGAATAATACTCGTAATTTTTGGTCATTGTCGCGGTAAAAAAAAAAAAAAAACTCGACAAGTTTTATCGATTTTGTTTGATTAATGTATTTTCGTGTTCTTGATTTTGATGCAGATGTAGACACGGATACTTTCATGTCGTTAATAATGATTATACTCATTGGGAAATGTACGCGATTGGAGGGAGTGCTTCACCTACGATTAACAGTCAAGGGAACAGATTTCTTGCTCCAAATGATAGGTTCAGCAAAGAGGTAATTGAAGTTTAATTATACTGATTAAAATGCTTTGTGTGTGTGTTTGGAAATGACGGACATTTATTTTGGGACGGAAGGAACTGAGTATCAAATAATAACGTTTGTTTATTTGTTTTCATATTACGAAATAGTATGCTTTTTTAAGCTAACTTTATTTCGTTTTCATAAGGTTAACATCAAAGACGTCCAAAAAGCAACAAAGAACCACTGTTCGCTGCACATGCATGCATTTAACTAAAATAACTGTTACCTATTTCCTTAATACTACTTTCAGCAAAATGAACTGTTTTTGACACCTCTTATTCTCTGGAAAGGTGCTTTGAGTTATTATTTCATCACATACGTACATGACAGTTATTATTTCCCCATTTTCAAATCAAAATTAATGAATTTGTAATAAATTGAGTGTAATGATAGTGATAGTGATAAATTAGCGGCAAATTAATATTTTATTACGTAACGAGTATATTTTACGTCACGTATGAAACTTTATTCACTAATTAAACAAACACTAACTAATTTTTCCATGAAAATGATGATGAAAACAGGTGACAAAATATGAGGATGCCCCAGAAAGTGAGTGGAAGAACTGGAATTGGAGGTCAGAAGGAGACCTAATGTTGAATGGTGCTTATTTCACACAATCTGGTACAGCGGGTGCATCTAGTTATGCTAAGGCCTCAAGTTTGAGTGCTAGGCCATCAACCCTAGTCAGTTCCCTCACCACAAATGCAGGTGCACTGAGCTGCAGAAAGGGCTCCCGCTGCTGATTATTACCACCTCTAAACAAGGAATTAAAGAATAGCTGGCTAGACTACTAATATATATATATAATTTTCACCATTTGGTCTGGTTCAGCTTTTTAGATTTACTATGAAGTCAAAATTAGAATCTTAAAGTAAAGAACAAAAGAGGGAGGCTCTATGGAGCTAGTAGTCAAAGGAAAATGCCCCAAGAAAGTCTAGATTATAGTGCACTTTCTTGGTTTTTCCTTCCCTCTTCTTTTGTTTGTTTTTTTCTTCTTTTACTTTTGGTTTTTTACCATTGATCATTTTCTGTTGTCCCTTTTTGACAATATTGTTGTCAGAAGAATTACAACCTCTACCTGTTTTTGCTCTGAACCATTTACTGGAAGGATGATTTCTTCTTTGCAAGACTTTGCAATTCCTTCCAATGTATTTGGTATAAGAGAATAGCAAGTGCAGAAGTGTTGATATATGATATACTTGATTTTCAATCATTTTGTTACATTGAATCTCTCTATGTATATATATATTTTTTTGCGCACTATATCAAATTGGTTCATGTTATCTCGCTTATTACTTATCAGCTATTACGTCTTAAACATGTTATATACGATCTGTTCTAATTTGAAAATGATTAAAAAACTATAACCATTGATGATATGATTAATTATCAATAAAATGAGATTATTTGAATTTACAAATACAGTTAATATACAATAGATGATAATATCGTATTCATGCAGATATGTCACGAAGGCTGTTGGCCCTTTTATTGCTAGTTGTGATGTGATGTGCTGCATAATGCGAACCTAGCAATTCGAAAGAAAATTTGTATAGTGGCTGAATAGTACATACAAAAATTCGAAAGCCCCTGGCCTATAAGAACTTATGAAGTGCGCCTTGGTGGCACAGTCTTCTATGATGATTCCAAAATCTAATGTATAAAATATGTTGAGATTCCAACTTCCAAAATTTAATGCTGTGGTACACATGGAGAGCAGCTAAGTACAGTATTGTTGATTCTATTACAGAAGTGAAAGTACAATTCTAATGTTGTTTTTATGCACATAATTAAATCAGTATCTTTGTTGGTGTCTGTAAATTACAACGTTAATGAGTTAAATTTTGCACATGTTATTGGATTTAAATAAAAAGGCTTTGGATCCAAAATCGGATCTATATCATATTAATATTATTTGACTCAAATCTAGATTAATCAGAATAATAATTTTAAACCACAAGTATATAGTACATGTACCTAAGTTAATAAGTTTTGAGAACTACTAATTCTGGCTAAAATTTTAAAGCCTAAAAAAAATTACTTCTAACAGTTTAATTTACATTATCTTTTATTCTCTTTGTTCTGAAATAATAATAATAATAATTTTTTTACAGGAATACATGGACTACTTTCGAACATTGCTGAAATAACAATTTAAAGCCACTATATTGTTGAGTACGGCAAAGTTGATTATATTACAGAACTAAGAGTACAAATTTGAATGTTGTTTATATGAACGGAATTAAATATCTATCTTTGTTGGTATGTGTAAATCACAACATTAATGGCCTAAATTTGCTACACATGATGTTTGATTTATGTCAGAAAGGATCCAAAAATATAATCTAGATTTTTGTAGGAATTTCCTCACTCAAATCTGGATTAATAAAGATAGTGACTTCAAATATCACATACAGCGTTATTGCTTTTATTACTTTCAAATATTGCTGATACACATATCTTATCTTCTATAAACATGCATGATGATGTCTTTTTCCAGAAAGAAACATTAATCTTTTGAAGCGCCTTCATGTGAGAAATTTGATTTCTATAGGAAAAGAAAAAACCAAGTTGGAGGCAATTTGATTTGAAAAAAAAAAACTTTAGTTTTGAATGGATTAAAAGTCGCTTCCTACTACCAATTACCACTTACCAAGATTACAATAAATGTTTTTCCACCAAAGATAAAGTTATAACTACTAAAGGTACATAAATTTGTTCCAAATTAAACAAAGAACTAACAACCAAATTTCATATGAAGACAACTGCAGGAATTACCAACCAAATTGAATTTTGGTGAAAATTTTAGAAATTGCAATTTTCAACTTTAACTTGAAAACGACTATTGCACCGATGATTTTTTACTAGATTACATTTCTAGGTGGAATCTCGTACCACCCTACTATTTTAACTTCTTACCCAATGGACTCAATGTCGTAGGACAAATTAATTATGACTACCAAAAATCTCCACTATTTGTTTTTTTTGACCAAAAAAATGTATAGTATACTCCTCAACTAGAATTTTTGCCTTTTATGGTTCCTATCCTCTCTTTCTTTAATTCCTTCTTCTTTTTATGTTAGTTCTTTGAATTATTGATGCCAAAGAGGACCTAATATGGAATTTTAGAACTCAACCTGCAAATTTTGAACAAAATTAGAGATCAATTGTACGGGTGGAGATTGGCTTGTGTTCTCCTATATACTTCCTCCGTCCCAAATTATTGTTCACTTTGGGTTTTCACTTTTAGTTTAATTTGTGCTAAAAATAAATTTCAAATTAGACAATAATTTCAGAACGGAGGAGTATGTTTTTTCGGATATTTCTAGACGAATTAATTAAGTATAATGTAGAAAGTTTTAGTCTTAATTTAGATTGGCCGTCTGAAAAATAAGCGATTTCTTTTCTTACTGAAGAAAAAGCGCTGATATTCCATGTTCCTAACATTTATCAAGTGACAATTTGGTTTCAGCTACCAAGAGAAACCATAAACACCTGTATTTGCATAATGAATGTTCTAAGCATAAGGTGATTGTAGTAATTAGGATGTAATTGTATATATGAATAATTTCACTTCTTCTTTTTCCCCACTTAATTATATATACTAGTTGTTTTACAAGAGGTTGATGTTGCTGATGGATTTATGCCTTTTATCGACTCCACCTCCCAAAAGTATTAAATGTTCGAGCGGAATATGTGTGATTTTGATAGGACAAAGAAAGGCAAAAAGCTAGCACATGTGCTGATCCTTTTCTAAATGTGGCTGTCAATAAATTAGTGAGGGCCAAATTGGTTACATTACAACTACATCTTTTGACAAACCGGCATCAACATTCAATGAAAATATTTCAATTGGTGTATTGAAATTAATTTAGAGAACTTCTTTTATAGTTGCATTTATTTGATTGGGCATTTTGGCAAATTCTTCATGCACAATCTTGACCTCAAATCAGCAAATGCTTACACCGTCTATTCTATCCAGTTTTCCTTTTTCCAATATCGTCATATATTTTGTCGATCTCTATATCTAAACGTTTGCCATCAGAATACAACCTTTTCCCCTGTTCAAATCTACTATCCTTTTTCATTCCAAAACGTAAGAGATAATGAAAATTATGGTGTAAAAGTAAATGATATATGGGAAACCCTAATCAACTTTACGGTTTTATAATACTTGTTTTGGATGTAGAGGAATTATATTAAGATTTGTAGTAAATATATAATAGTACTAGCACAAATGCATGTGGTTTTAATTATTTATTACTTTTGATGGAAAATTATTAAGTAGACAGATAGAAGCCAGCGACAGTTAGCTTGAGCTCACTAAGGCTATAATTTAACTACTTCAACTAAAGAATATTCATATTCTCTTCGTTGGAAAGAGGTTAGGCAGGCTATTATGCTTATTATAGCTCTTTATTTATGGCTAATCTTATTAGAATCTCCTCCTTTTTTTGAATGAAAAAGTGGGCTATATAGCTAGCTATACTTATGTAGCTTGTGCTGCTTTCCTATTCAGCAACTTCTTTTGTTTTCAAGTAGTGAATGACTAAGGGAACTCATAAAGTAAAATACAAGGAAAAAAATCAATAACAATCAATTACTTTCTTTTATAAAAAATTTGTCGAACAGTAACTTTCGGACGCCAGATATAATATTAATAAAAAACCGATTTACATTTTGAGAATGAGCAATCGCAAAATAATTGTGTGGTGCCCTCTTTGTCGACGGGTTGTAGAAGACACAGAAAACTGTTGTCCCAAATTAATATTACAGCATGGGCCGTTTTATTTATTTAAGTTTGGAGACTTTGAGTCCAAGTCATAATGCGTGACTCACAGGGCAACTGCATGAGTAATCCTTACTCTATGAAACCTTTTTTTTTTGCCCTTTCATTTCTTTCTAAAAGAATGAGGTAATGTTCATCTATTTACTTTTTCTTTTACTTTTGCCTTCCCTTTTTTTTTTCTTTTTACCGTAGCAACGATTGTATTGGTATTTGACGATACTTACAGGTACAGTGCTTAAATCTTACGAATAAGCATAACATTTTACGAATATTACTTTTCTAAATCAAACAATACTTAATTAGTAGTTTGACGAAGCATGGACCTGCACGGTGCTCAGGACAGGTGGCGACGATGATCTATGTGGCAGCGGACGGTCTAAAACCTACAAGATAGACGGGTGTCTCCCGACTCTCGATATTTAAGTCAATAAGGGAATAGAAAGAATAGGGAGAGGGGTGGTTGTGCGTGTGTATGAAGTGTAGAAGATAGGTAGAAAATATGAATTATGAGAGAGGCACCGCCTCTTTATATAGAGGTGGTGTTACCCGTTTTCTTAAACCTAGTCGGAATAAGTTTATGCGGTGACTTATCCTTTTAGTAATCTAATCCTAGGCCCAATAAGACCAGGGTTCAATCCGGACTCGTCATAGTTTTTTTTCTTTAAAATTTGTAGATGACTCTAGCCAATCTAATAGTAAACCACATTTTATTATTTTTGTGGAGGCCTTTCATTTTTTTTTTTTAACAAAAACAAAAGAAAGATGACATTCAGGTTCCAATTACCTCAAAAAAACTCAAAGGGTATACCTAAGAAGTAAATTTTTGAGATAATCAATGTTGTATAGTATAATGCATTCAAAGGGTCTACCCAAGGGATAGACATATATAATATATAGTTCCCTAGTTCCATCCTCCCTTATTTTATTCCATTTCTCTGAATAGCTGAAAACAGGCAGTGCAAAGACTTACCCATAATACATTAAGTCAGACGTGATATGACAAGGAAGATTGATCTAAAATCAACAACCCTTTTACAACTCTTGGAAGAAATTCTAGACTAGCACATGATTCCGAGAAACCATTTGATGCACCTTTTGCTAATCTATCAGCAACCGAATTAGCCTCCTTGTGTATAAGTGTAACCTTGTAATTGTTCTTCTGTATGATAAAAAGCATATCTTGCAAAATCTCATAATAAGACCACAGTAAACCCTTACTTGAATGCAAGACATCAGATAGGGCTTTGTTGTCCGTTTGAAGTGTCACATTTGAAAGCCCCAAACAATCACATTTCCTTAAGCCAAAAAGAGTACCATAGACTTCAACTTTAAAGCTGTCTCCGTCTCCCAGATACCCACCTTCTCCAAAAAGATACCACCGGCCCCCGGATCACAAATCCATAACCTGACTCCTGTAATCGTGACGAACCATCCGTGTTTAAAACATAACAGCCAGCTGCCGGGGGTATCCATACCACTAGGCCGAATAATTTGACTTAGGTTAACACCAAGGAGGTTCTGGAAAAAACCCTTTTCTTCCTCACTGCGAACCATGAAATTGTGTATCATCATGATAAAATGAACTTGGTCCAGTATCGCATGCACCATGGTCTAAAAATCAGCCCTAATTCCTTCATAGATTCCCTTGTTGCGAGCTTTCCAAATTTCCTAGAGGATAATAGACAGAAGAATCATACGAAATACGCCATGAGCAGTCTTCGTATCCCTCTTTATCCACCATTTCTTAAGCATCATGTCTAGGGTTTGGGTCCCTACTACATTAATCCTGATTAACGCAGCAAAATGCGACCATACTTTTCGACTAAATGAGCAATCAGTAAAGCAATGGCTAAGGCCATCAGAATTTGCAAAACAAAGGTAACAAACAGTAAGCGAGATATTGATCCGCATTCTAGCCAAAAATTTAGGAAAAGCCAACAAATTGTTTCACAGCCGCCACAAAAAAATCGATACCTTCACTAGGGTGATCGAGTTCCACACATTTGTCATCCACCTTTCCTCCAATTGCCAACATCGTATAACCTCATAAGCTATTTTGACTGTACAGTCTCCACTAGAGGTACATGTCCAGAAAAGCAAATCATCATCAACCTAAAAATCATGAACAAAGTCAGCAAGAAATTGAGCAACTCGCGTTGGAATGAAATCCTGAATCGCATTCAGCAAATTCTCCCTATCAAGAAAGAAGTCCTTGACACTAATCTTTGGAAAAAGAATGTCTTCATGAAGCCCATCACTGAGCACTCCAAACGGCGACCAATTGTCGTGCCAGAAAGAAACATTGCCGCACCGCATAATAATACGTGTATTACGGATTGCGCACTACTCAACCTTGATAATTCGTTTCCATGATGTTCTTTCTCTTGCCGAATGTGATAAAGAACTCAAAAACCTGCTCCAAATGCCCCTTTGTTGCTTCCATTTCCAGCACAGTTTAATGGTCAAAGCATCAATGGTGTCTTGCAAGCTTCTGATTCCAAGTCCATTTTCCAAAACTGGAAAAGTTAATCTCTTCCAAGCCCTCCAATGCCTCTTCCGATTGTCATTTGCACCCCTCCACAGAAACCTTTGACATATTTCTTCTATTTTTTGTATAACTGATTTCGGTGGCGGAATGGCAGAGAAAACATGAATTGGCATGGAAGCCAAAACATGTTTGATCAAAATGAGTCATCCACCTTGGCTTAAAAGCTTATTCCTCCAACTCAAAAACTTCTTAGCCATGCTATCCAACAGGAATTGATATATAGCAGCCTTGCGCCTTTCCTAAAACAAACGGTATCCAAGATAAACAAAAGGGAAGTCCCCTTTTTGAATCCCTTAAGCGTTTTGAATAATTTCTCCTCCACGCTGGGCAATTATCCACAATCATGAACGAGCTTTTTTGTCGATTAATTCGTTGGCCAGAAGCACATTCATAGTCATGGAAAAAAGGATTTAGAGAATGCAAAGATCTTTTCAACCCCTGAGAGAAAAGGATGAGATCATCCGCAAAAGCAAGGTGAAAGACAACCATGGAGCTTGAAGGAACACCATAAACAGCCACACTTCCCGAATCAACTAAAAACTTGAGCCTTCTCATCATTGCCTCCGAAACTAAAAGAAATAAATGCGGAGATAAAGGATCTCCTTGTTTTATTCCTCGAGATGACTGAAAATAGCCCACCGGACCACCATTAATCATGATTGAAAACCAGCTCGAACGCAAGTTGTTCATGATCAAGACAACAAAAGCTCTCAGGAAGCCAAACTTAAGCATAACCTTCTCCAAAAAGCTCCATTTTACTCTATCAAATGCCTTCATCATGTCCAATTTCAAAACAAAATTCCTACCCTCATACTTCCGGTTAATAAATTGGCATAGATCTTGGGCAAAAAGTACATTATCAAAGATATCTCGCCCCTCCAAAAAGGCCGATTGCTCCTCCGATATGAGTTTCGGTAGAACTTTTTTCAGTCTTTCAGTGAGGACCTTAGTGAAGACTTTATTTAGGAAATTACACAAACTGATGGGTCTATAATTTGAAAAGGTATTAACCGCGGCTTTCTTTGGAATGAGAGTGATGAGTGTACTTGAAATAGCTCTAGGTATTGGAATTCCAATCATAAACTCCTGGCAAGCCGACCAAAGATCATTTTCAATAATTTCCGAACATGATCTATAAAAAGTTCCTCCAAAACTGTCAATCCCAGGTACACTATCTTCACTCAGGTTAAAAACCGACTCCTTAATCTCCTCTTTAGTAACTTGTCTCAGCAACATGTGCACATTTTCTTGCAACAAAACTGAAGGTATATGTTCCAAAAATAAAGCTTGTGATTCTTCACTATCCTCTTCATCCTCAGGTTCATTCATAAGATTTTAAAAAAACCCATCGCCTCTTGATCAATTTCAGCACTGGAGGTTAACATTCTACCATCCTCCGATTGAATTTTAAATATACTTTGCTTGATTCTTCTTTCCTTCAAAGTAGCATGAAAAAAGATTGTGTTAGCGTCCTCCTCTTTTAACCATTTAAGCTTCATCTTCTGCGACCAGAAATGATCACGCTCCTTAAGCCTTAGCAGCAATCTAGCTTTATCTTCATTAAGAGCAACTCGGTCTTTATTTGATCTAGACAAATCATGAGCATTTTCAAGTTGCTGTACAGTCCCACTTCCAACTTTAAATTGTCAAAAACATCTCCAAACACTTCTTTATTCCATTCTTTCAACTTCATCTTCAATCGACTGAATTTAAGGGAGAAGTGGAGCATGCCAGTTTGCTCTATTGTCTGGTCCCACAAGATTGAACAATCTTCCTGAAGTCATCCCGTCGCAACCACATTTTCTGAAACCAAAAGACCTTTGGCTTGCTTTCCCCTTGCGCAGCAAAAAGATGCAACAAAGGACTACCAGAGATGGTTCTATTCAAGTTCTCAGCAGAGGAGCTTGGAAAATAATCATTCTATTCCTTAGAGATCAATATTCTATCAAGTTTTTTACTCACCCAACTTGTGGTTCTATTGCCGCCCCATGTAAATTCTTCCCCTACTGTTGGAAGCTCAAGAAGATCACACTAAAAATGCAATCATTAAACTCCGACAAGGCCGTATGATCTTGAACTGAAGAGCCGGAATATTCATCTAAGGACCGAATAACATTAAAATCCCCAGCCACCATCCAAGGTGAGTTTGCAAAAATTTCTGTTTGAATGCAATTAAGTTTCTTCACAGGGGCTGACGCGCCACTCTATTGGTTTTTGCATACACCGCCGAAAGATAGAACTTTTCAGCAATGTTAACATGAGTCACTTCAAAGTGTAGCACTTGATTATCCTCCTCCAACATTGTAAGAGTAAATTCTCGCTGACTGAAGACCCAAATTTTGCTGGAATTTGAATGGAATGCAGTATCGAAGTTTAACTCCTGCCTTATGCTATCAATCTGACCCAAATCCAACATAGGCTCCAAGATTATTAAAAAGGACACTCTATATCTTTGAATTAACGACCTCAAGGGTCTTTGTGACGCTTGATTCTTTATTCCTCTAATGTTCCAAATTATTTGACTTAACATCATAAACAGATGAAAAAGAAGTAACCATCTATCGCATTCTCGAAGACCGCCCTGGAACCACCCCATCTAGCAGCTTTAGCTTTTCATCCTTTGATTTACGTCCGCGTTTCTTATGCACTGAGCCTTCTATTTGCGATTCAGATATGTCATCGGCATCGCCATCACACCAAATTTCCCTCTCCACAGATTCTAACTCCTGACCAGCAGACGCTTTTGCTATATATCCATCATCAAAACATCTCCCAACATCCAATGGACCTGCACCTCCGAGTAAAGGCATCTCCTGCGGATCATCAACAATCTCATCATTCTGCCTTTCTATATCATGCGGAATTGTGATTTCAGTAGAGTTCCTTCAGTAAAAATATTTTCAACCTTTTCTTCCTCCTCTTCGTCTTCAGTAGTTTTCTGATTCTTAGTCAACTCTTCCTCAGTAACATCAAGAGCAGCAAAGCGGTTGGAGATAGCCATGGAAGGGATGATTCCCGACGGAGGAACAGAATCAATCGCGGCATCCATAGAGCGCAAAGATTCTTGCGTTTGTTCATTCCCTTGATCAACAGATACATCCATTTTCTAACCCTCGGAGGCTGAAGGTGGACTAGCCAAAACGTCAATCGGAATATTACTTTTCTCCTTGAGAGACAACCCCGAAGTTGATCCACTATCGTGCGCCTCTAGGGTTTGCACCGCTAGGGTTTGCGACTGAGCCGGTTGCAACTCATTGGGCGCGACAGCTTGCATTTGCAGGATCTCTACTTCAACACTTGAGTCGTCCTTATGACGTTTAGATCCCCAAGTCACCTTTTGTTGCTGCAGTTTAATTCTTTTTTTCTTCAAACCTAAAACATTCTCCTTCACAGATTCATTCAAACCCGGCGGTGGTGGTTTTCCAACCCTGCATTCAGTTACCTTGTGTCCAATCTTGCAACATTTGGAGCAATATGATGGGATATATTTATACGTAAATACTTGCTAGTGCTTTCGGCCCTTCTTGCCAATTTTCACAGATTTCGGGAGATCCATCAAGAGGTCGACTTTAACACAAAAGCGCTACTGATGGCCTCATCATATTCATTGTAGGAGTATTAACCTTCAATTGTTGCCTATAGCGGTTGCCATCGAGTATATGACTTCCAGATGCAACAATTCTACTGGCAAATCATAAAATAAAACCCAAATCGGGACTACGGGTGGATCTTCCTCAAAGTGGAAACCCGGCGTCCATTTCAAAGTACGCATTGAGAACCCCAAAATATTCCAAAACGTTCTAATCCAACATCGCTGATAATCATCTTCTTCCCCAAATTAGATTAGAATGTGTCTAGGGTTCATGAGGTCCAATGTGCCACTATTGAAACTAATCCTCTTGAACTCGTGAATCTCGTCCATTTTGGGTCGGCCATACAAGAATTTTCCCACAAGACTCAACCAATGTGGAGCTACAAGTTTCGCGAACTCATCATCTTCATACTCCAATGTAGGAGTGCCATTGATAAATTTTACTTATTTAATTAGAGAGGGTTGGGTTGCCGCAGACGGGGAGGGCTTTTGGAAGAAGGATGCGAAAGTATTTGGCGACTTTGGGGGGGCTGCCGGCGGCTGATCGCCGGCCATGAAGGCCAAGAAGAAGACGTGAAGTCGTCAGTTCTAGGGTTAGGCTTGAGAGAATCATGGGTAAATCCGTCAACTAGCCACTATGGCCTTTCATTGCATACTGTTTGAAGAGCCAAACTGCCGCGTGATTTCTTGCATTTTGTTCCATAATCTCACTTGTGCATTTTGTTCTATAATCTCACTTGTCGGTTTCGGAGGGCTAGTCCTATCTAACACGAAGGTATAAAGCTTCTCCTACATTGTAAATTGTACCCATATGTCATGTAAAACGGTAGATACTTTAATTCTTTTGGGAAAGACAAATTATAATTTTTTTTTAAAAAAAAAAAGGGAAAGAAGAGGAGGAAGAATGTGAAAGTTGACTTCTTTTTTTTTTCTTTTTTTTTTCTAGAAACAAAAGAGAACACTGAAATAATAGCTTTAATCAATTTCTTGAATGAGTAAAACTAGGTTCAGACTTCATATCATTACATTAGTCGTACAATTACGTCCACCATAAACGCTTTGCTGATGATCTTCTATATATTGGTCTCTATTTCCTCTCTACATTTTTCAATAATTAATCCAATCAAAGTCTAATCAAAAGCTATTTTGAAAAATTACCCCCCGACACAGTCAATAGAAGAACAAACACCTTATATCTTCATGCAATATTACATATACACCAACAATAATATATCTAGTATATTCTCAACTCGGTTGAGATCTGAGAGTCAATGCAGCCTTACTTCTATATTCCAATACAGAGAGATTGTTTAAGTAGTACGACCCAAGATGCATTGGTGCACTGATGTATTGATCTCCGGCAACTTCACCAAAATTAAGAAGCGTCAGAATTTAATGAGTCATTTTGATCTAATATCTATTATAAGCACATAGCTGAAAGAATTATCAATGATGACTTTTCCAGCTCCATTTGCAATTGAATTCATGTAATATTACTTATAATGAAATAAATTACACTTAATTTTTTTTTTAGAAAAAACAAGTGTTTGGAAAAAGACATTAAACCAAACCAAGTAACCCTTCCGTATTAACCAAAATGATTATTGTATTAGTACACTAGACAATCGTTCGGGACATTTAAATAATGTATAGGAATTGCTTCAAAATGATACTACCAAAAACTGCAGAAAATATCTTCATGGAATGATTAAAAGTTTATTCACCGGAAACTAAATACGGGGAGGCAAATTATGAGCTGGATTTCATCAATCAGGATTCAATACTATCTCTTCAATGGTTTCTTCTTAGATTGTTTTTTTATCTTGCTTACATTTGACCATTTGGGGGCCTGCTAGTCAAAATTGATGAATTTTCTCTTTTTCTCTTCATTTTTTCTTTTATATTTTATGCTTGACATTAACTACAAGAATTACGTGTTTGACCTGCACTGTCAAGCGACAAGAACAACAAGGTCGACAATGACATAAGATTGAAGCAAGCTAATCAGCTAGTATCAAGAAATTACTTTAATTTATTAAAGATATTTTACAGCTTTAAGGAGAATTTATTGAAAATTATGTGATGACACAATGAGAATTAACAGGAATTCTCCATGAAAATGAAAATACACGATTGTGACAAAGCAAATCCTATAAATGTACATCTAAAATTTGCACCAACAGCATTAATCAAGATAGGGGTTGATGTGCATACACGTAAGTACTCAATTACGTGGAAGCCGACCACCAAAAAGCCAAAAAAGAGATTGATATGATTAAATCACATAACAATTGGCTAATTGACGAACAAGATTCTTGTAATGTTTATTTGACAATCTCCCGTAAAGAACGCATAATCACTTGCATCAAACTAAGAACGGAACAATAAGCAACAGTGATATTCAAGAAAGCTTGGTTAGGGAAAAACATTTTCTACATCTTTGCCTCTTTGGTGTTTTTTTTCTCCCCTTTTATGTCACGATCATTATAGTTTGATATGTATCTATTCGGTTATCAAATAATATCTCATTTATGATTTTGTTAGATATTACTACATCCGTTCCAAAAAAATAGTTCACATTGAGTTTTCAAATTTGTATAAAAAATAGTACACAACTCAAAACTTAATGTGGACTAATTTTGTGAGACGAAGGGAGTAGTATATATTGAGTTTGAAGACAAAGTGGTTTTGGCCAATTTAATATGAGTTTACTGCTGAAAACGCCACAGAAAATCTGATTTGATTTGTTAGACCTGAAATGTGAGAAATGCATAAATGCTTGTGAACTCAATACTAACCCACCTATTTAGCACTGGCAATAATATTGGTTCACAATTGCTCCCAAATAATAATAACAGCTAGCTAGGATCAACTGCAAATAGTCAGTTGACTTTTCCTGAAATCAGACAAATTAACCTTACGTGTTGCACTAATTGCAGTTGCATGTAATTTTCTTTTTAATAATTTCATTTTTTTATCAAAGAAATTAAAAGTTAAATCTAAATTAATTAATGGACCCGGGACAATGCATTATGCTTGCCGAAACATAACATAGTTTTCATGAAAAAAGCACCACAAGTCACCCCATCGTTGATAGGAAGTAAAAAAGAGTTTTCTGTGCATGTTTTAAAAAACGTTTTCTTTTCACCAAAATGCGCAGTACATAGACTACGTTTGAAACTATTTTGGCCCCGAAAGTAAAAAAGGGTTGAATTACATATATGAGAACTTTTTTAAATTAATGGAGTGTTCCGGCACTTAAATAAAGCTAGATGTTATTTCCTCGGAATCAGCAATATAGCCATTTTTTCCACTTAATTTCCCTGTTTTTTTTTTAAAATTTTATTTTATGAAAAAGGTGTTATTTTCTCTCCTTCTAAAAAAAGCTTGCTAAAACCAACTACCCTAAATTAACTTGGCATGACAATACAAAGTGACCAGAGTGGACAAGTAGACCTCACAGAAATTCAACGGAGACCGGGATCGGATTCGAAACCAGGTTTTATTCAGACAGGATCCTCACAATTAACATCGGTGTTTATAGGAATTTGGATGGGCTTATCACTTATGGCACATTCTTGTGAAATGCCAACACTGGACGACTTCTCCAACAGGCTTTAGAAGGATAAACACACACACACACACACACACACACACATTTTTTGCATAATGGGTACTCTTCCTCCCCTTCTACAAAAATGTCCAATTACTTGGGCCATGTGCTGTTGTTACTTATTACCGATAAAGAAAATAAATTGAGGACTAAAATATTCACTCTGCTAAACGTAGTTAAGAGTGGCTTTATAGGTGAATATATATATATATATATATATATATATTTGAAAAAACTTTTATGTACCATTACAGGCATCCTAATGATTAAAAAAAAAGACACCCCACCTCTCCCCCAAAAAAAAATTACCGTGTGCAAAGCAACTCTGGAAGAAGAGCCAAAACTCATGAAATCGATCAGCTGCAAAATAATGTCAATGATGACGATCATATAACATGATATGGATGGCTAATTCTCTAAGGCTACTCCCTCTATTTTGAAATATATGTCGTTTTACAGTTTGGTGAATTTTTTTAAATATACATCGTTTTCACAAATCGTGACACATTTGACCACTTTTTACTAATGTTACTCCTGCATTGGGAATGAAACAATATTTATAATGAATTTATATATATATATATTTTTTTTGGTAAATGGTAAACTTGTATTGATCAACTTCACAAAAAGAAACTATACAAATCTTTAAGTACAAGAAATCTTGCCTATACCATCTAAGTTTAGTCCAATTCTTTTTAAGTACTGAAATTCCATCTCCTTCATTTTCTTGTTTTTCAAACAATGCAAGAGCCTCTAAGTAATTTCCTGTTTTAGCCTACACCAACACATTTTTGATGATGATAATACATTCCTAAACCTCCTCCCATTTCTCTCTAACCATAGATGATAGACAGTTGTATTCAAAACAACATACATTATTCTCTTTGCATCTCCTTATGTCTCCATATTTTCACAATTCCCTTCACATTGAGATAGTCTATTGTAGCATTCACGTGCAGCGATTCCTTCACCTTTTTCAGCATTGCCTGATAAAACTCACACTTGAAGAACAAATGCTGGACTGTTTCTATCTCTTTTAAACATAAAATGCATACCTGATCATCAGGAAGGACTTTGATCTGCTTCAATCTGTTTGAGGTGGCCAGTCTGTTCCTCCATGCTAACCAGCAGATGAAACTGTGTTTGGAAACTGAGTATACACTCTATACTATGCTTGCTGAATAATCTTTACTTCTTCCTCCTCTAAGCCAATCATATCCACTTCTGGCAGTATACCTTTTCCCTCCATTTCCTTGCCATATACCACTGATGATTCCTGGTTTAAGCTCTTCTTTAACTTTGATTAATTTTTTCCAGTGCCAGCTGCTATCTTTAGGTGCCAAGCAATCCCATATTTATCTCTCTTTCACGTAGTAAATATGCATCCATTTAACCCATAAACTTTTCTTCATATTACTCAGGTTCCATAGCTGCTTCCCAATTAGTGCTTAATTCCAAACACATGGTTCCTTAATATTCAATCCACCTTCTGACTTCATTCTACATAAATCCTGCCATGCCACCAATGATAATTTCTTCCCTGTTTCCTTGTTGCCCCATAGAAAGTTCCTACAGACTTTGGTAATGTCTTGGATCACACTCTGTGGTATTAAGAAAACACTGGTCCAGTAAGAATTCAGATTCATTAGTACAACATTAATCAGCAATGTTCTGCCAGAATAAGACAGGTATTTAGAGGACCAGCACTTGATTCTTGCAGTCACTTTATCCACCATCTTTTGGCATTCATCCTTTTTCCAAGCTGTTGGTGTTATTGGCATCCCCAAATATTTCATTGGAAACTCTCCTCTATCAAAACCCACAACAACTTGAATATCAGCTGCCATCTTAACTGACACTCCTGCCACATAAAGATTTGACTTGCTAATATTCACTCTCAGCCCTGTTGTTGCTTCAAATCTCATCAGTACAGCCTTCACTCTTGACACAGTAGCCACATCAGCACCACACAAAATGATCAAGTCATCAGCAAAACTAAGGGAGGTAATCTTCAATTTTTAACAGTATGCATGAAATTGAAATCCTTCCTTTTCTGCTTCCAACTTAAATAATCTGGTCAAATATTCCATTACCATCACAAATAAAAGAGGGGACATAGGATCACCTTGTCTAAGTCCTCTTTTCCCTTGAAAGAATCCAGTGCTGCTACCATTTATATTCAGTGAAAATGAAGCTGAGGTAATGCATTCCATAATCCAACCAATAACCTTTGGAGGAAAGCCAAATTCATGTAATAACTCCTCTATAAACTCCCAATGGATAGAGTCATAGGCCTTTCTCAAGTCTACTTTCAACAGACAACTGGGTTTAACATTCTTCCTGTTGTACATTCTTACCAATTCCTGAGTCAACAATATGTTTTGCAGAATAGTTCTCCCTTCACAAATGCTCCTTGATTAATATCAATTAATTCCACCAATACTGTACTCAGCCTTTGGCATATCAGCTTTAAAATGCACTTATACACTGTATTGCAACATGCAATAGGCCTGTGTTCAGTTGCATCTCTAGGCACTGTTACTTTTGGGATTAGTGCTATCAGAGTGGCATTGAATTGCTTCAAAATTCTCCCAGTTTTGAAAAATTCCAACATTGCCTCACACACATCATCCTCTATTATCTTCCACAAGCTTCTATAAAAGCCACTGTTATATCCATCAGGACCTGGACTTTTGTTAATGTCAATGCTGAACATTGCACTCTTCACATCTTCCTTGGTGAACTTATCAGTCAGCCTGAGTTGCTGTGATGTGGACAGTTTAGCTCCTGAACTAATAACTCCACTTTGGATAGTTGATCTGGATACTATAGTGCCAAGAAGAGACTTGGAATAATTCAAGAAATGCTCTTCAACCTTTTCTCTATCATCTACAAGATTACCATTCTCATCAGTGAAAGATCTGATTTTATTCCTCCCAATCTTCTGTTTAAGGCTGGCATGAAAGTATTTTGTGTTCAAATCTCCCTCCTGATACCACTTCTCCTTTAACTTTTGGCTATAATAACTCATCACTGCCTTGCTTGCCAGAACATACTCCATAGTAGCCTCTTTCTCTACCTGTTGCCAATGTAGATTAAAAGGATCAGTCTTCAATCTCTCTTGCACCTCTTCCAAACACTTTTTACTTTTTAGTTCTTTCTCCTCAATTCCTGAGAATTTCCTTTTGTTAAGTTCTTTCAAATGCCTCTTCAGTGGTTTCTACTTTTGTACCAGCTGAAACTGTCTACATCCTCTTACTTCCATTTGCCAATGTTGTCTAACTATAGAAGCACATTTAGGATCCTGTAACCACATATTAAAAAACCTGAATGACTTCTTCTCACCAACATACTCTTCTCCCCACTTCACCATTAAGCAGTTGTGATCTGATATGCCAGCTGATAACACATTATTATAAGACTCAGGAAATTCTGTCAACCATTTCCAAATGACAAATGCTCTGTCTAATTTGGACACAATCCTCATATCACCATATTGTTTATTATTCCAAGTAAATCCCACCCTGAGTTGGTAATTCCCATAGTTTACAGTATTCCACCATCTGCTTAAATTTATCAGAATCATTATTCAACACTTCTCTGCTTCCCATTCTTTCTTCTTGGTTCAAGATACAGTTAAAATCACCAACCATGAGCCACTCTTCTTGAATGCCATTTGCCATATTCTGAAGTTGTTCCCATAGTCTAAATCTTCCCTGAGCTAAGTAATCAGCATATACCAGAGTGATGTAGTACTTTTTTTTTACTATCTTGCTCAGTAAAGTGACAGTGCATGAATTGCTTATCCACCTTTTCCACTCTAACAACATAGTCATCCCTCTTCCACATTAATAAGATTCTTCCCTTCTCATGATTTTCATAGTTACTTATATACCCAAACTGATACCGTCTTCTTTCTAATAGCTCCTTCACCTTGTCTCCTTGTAACTTTGTTTCTAATAATCCCATAACTCCTGCTCTATTCACAGCAAGGCAATTATCTACCTCCCTGTGTTTCAGGGGACTATTAAGTCCCCTTATATTCCATGATAGTATATTATTCATGGATCCTAGGCCCTGGATCAGGGTTACTAGATCCTTGATATATATATTAATGGATTTTCTCTTATCACCACCTCTTCCTTCGGCCACTTCGATACCTTTCTGATTTAGTATTTGTATACTAGATTCAGCTGTTTTCCTAGGAGATCCTGCTGGACTGGAATTCTTTGATCTGGACTTGACATAAATGCTCTTCATTGGGCTCTTATCATTATTATTAAGTGGATTCTTTATTTCAGTTGGCTTGCTTTCCTGAATCACTTGCTTCTGCTTGTCAACTGATTTAGGACTCCACTTTTGTTCAACTGGCTTCCTGCATTGTGTTTTCTCATGACCATATCCCCTGCAATTATCACATTTGATTGGCTTCCACTCATATACTACTTTCTACTCCTGTACTACACCACATTCATCTTCATACCACAGTGCTTCCTTCAGTTTATCTCTGAATTCAACATCAACTAGTATTCTTGCATATGCCGCTCTTAGCTTGTTTTCAGTCAAGTCATCCATCTCGATTGGTTTGCCTATCATGCTGGCAATCCTACTGAGGGATGTTTCATTCTAGTATCTAAGCTGCAAACCAGGCAATTGAATCCATACAGGAACTGAGCTTAATTCTTCCAGTTTGATACCTTTCCTCACATCCCAGTCCTTAATAATGAATGGACGATTATCAAATTAGTGAATGTTTTGCTTCAACACTAGCTCCTTATCTTCCATAGAGCGAAATTTTACCACAAAAATTCCATTATTCAATAACAAGACTTTATCCACACCTCTTCTGCTCCAATAACGACATATAAAGCCATTCATAACTGGAAAAGGTGGTTTAGCACCCAAGACATAACAGATCACAGAGTTTTTCCAATACTCCACTTCACTTTCAATTTCTTCCTTAGTAATTTTCACAATTTCACGATTATTCACCAGATCCGGCTCAATGAACCTTAATTTCTTTTTGGCTTGATGTAACACTTTCATATCAAATCCTTCTCATACATTTTGGCCCCCAAGTTTCGTTCCTCCTTCCAATTTATTAGATCTTGGTTCATTTGGAATATTAGAACTTTCTCCTACCTCAATTACTTTTTGCTTGCATAAATCCTCAAAAATTGAATTAGAGTTACCTGATCGCAAGCTGAACTGAGCTTCCTTGTTCGAGTTGACTTCACCGCCAATTGATCCTTCTCCACCTCTGCTACCTGCTTCCCATCACCTCCTACCAGCTCCCCTCTTTTCTTTGGCTTCCTTGCCATTGCAGACTTGTGTCAGAGGCCAAGGTCGAGAACACACAGTCAGTGTGTTTTCGCCCACAGTTGAAGAGAGAGAAGTTGAATATTATAATAAATTTATATTGGTTTGTGATGAATTATATAGAAAATAAATAAGGATATTTTTATATTTTAATTACATTATTTAATGTTTTCTTGCTTTTGATGAATTTTCTAGAAAGACATATAAAAAAAAAATTGGAGGGAGTTAGTTAAACAAAATCAATATTAAATCACTATAAAACAAGACAAACCTGGATAGATGAACAACAAAATTATGGAAGAAGAAATGAAATCGTCTTCTTGTTTTCTTTGCAAATTCCATTCCTTGTTTTCACTTGGCTCAAAGGAAGCAAGAAAAACCTCCCTCCTTCACCACCAAAACTTCCCATAATCGGAAACCTTCATCAACTGGGTTTCTTTCCGCACCAATCCCTAAAATTATTAGCTGAAGATTATGTTTCAAGCTACACCTTCACTTAATTGACCAGCAAACCTACACTCATCATTTCATCTCCTACTATGACTGAATGGTCCTAAAAGCACATGATCTCAACTTTTAAGGATCCAACTGTCGCTCCTTATGGCGAATACTTGAGACAAGTAAGAAATATATGTGTTCTTCGACTTTAAAGTAACAAAAGATTTCAATTTATTCGGAAGCATACGAGAAGAAGGGATCGCGTTGACGCTGGATAAGATACCAGCTATTAGTGACATTCACTAATGACATAATTTGTCGGATGGCCCGAGGAGGAGGTAGTCGGGAGATGAAAGCGGGAGTTCAAGAATAATTGGGAGTTTTTAAGGTTGGTAATTACATCCCATGGCTAGGATATATGGATTAATCACATCAATGGTTTGGAAGCTTGAAAAAGACTTGGATGCATATTTGGAAAGTATTGTTGAAGGGATCATGAAGAAAAATATATAGTTAGTGGTGAGAGTGATGAATATGGACAACTGGTAAAGCCAGGAGATTTTTTTGGATTAATTCTACTGGAGAATCAGGAGACAAATGCTACTGGGTTTGATTTTCATTGAGATTCACTTAAAGGTATCATTTTCGTAAGGTTTAATTTCCATTTCAATTGATTCTGTTTCAAAATGATTATCTTGTTTTGCTAATCTTTTTGGGGAGACCTTAATATCCTGTTAATTGTATTACAGTGTAGTGTACTGGAGTAAAGCCACACACATTAATTGGGTGACCCTTGAAAGTTGAAAACTTGCTTTGTTATTTTCAAAAGATAAACTACACGTAAACGTCATCACGAAGGAGTCACCAAAATGATTTTCAACTTCTAACTAAATGCAGAGGTGCATCCAAACTTCTTTTAAATGGAAGAACCATGAAGTAACAACAGTGGAGCACATATCACACATGCTCCGACTAATTCCACTCCAGTATGGTTATTTAATTTATTTTTTTTTTTGTTATGTTATTCATAATGCAGACCTAATTACGTCTACCTTTTTAGCCTTTACCACCATTTTCATCTCTCTAACAAACCTTTCCATGGCTAACTCCGGTAAGCGCATCGGAACAACGGTTCCATTCTCTCCCTTCTTATTTTTCGCGGGAACAAAACAGCTAGCTAGTCCGGGAATGTGTTCAATCCCGCCGGTCGCGAGTCCACCGGAAACCGGCTCTCCCCACCCAAAATCCACCTTATCGAACCTGACCCTCCTCAGGTTCACCACCAAGAAACTTCTCACCGGCGTAATATGCGGCCGCCTTCTGAGAACCATCAAGTCAACCATCGACTTCACGTACTCATTTGTCACTTTTTCCTTAGTATTCATCACCAACTCCACCGCGTAATCAAGCGGGTTTTTGATCAACTCTCCGGCCGAGGTTAATGCTGCCGGAAAAGCAAAGGCGTTCCCGTAGTACCCTTCCGGCAAAGGAGGATGCAAATTGGACCTGTAATGAATGCTCACAGCATTGATAAATCTCACTTTTTCTGCTTCATCAACCTGAAGGTCGGAGACACGACAGCGCCAAATGTAGGCGGCGAGGACTTCCGCGGTGGAGCACTTACCACGGAGATGAGGCGAGAGGGAAGCTCGAAGTGCCATAATCTCACTAGGGCCAAAGAAAAATGACTTGTGGACCAAGTCATCGAAACGAACTAGGGCTTTTTCGGTGTCTGAAACCACGTCGGTGGATGCAAGTCATTGTAGGTGGATTTCCGGTGGAACTAAGGAGTTCTCTCATCCATTTCGGTAGCACAGAAGGATGGAGGCTCCTCTGGCTATTTCAGCTATCGATGTCATGAATTGGAGGATCCAGGGGAATCAGCCATAGGATGGTTAAGGCGAACACCTAAGATGAAACCGCCACATTGAAGACGTGTTACCTGCCAAGATATTTTTGGTAGAGTTCATCAGATTATTATTTTGGCATTCATGATGTCGGACAAATTTAATCAATAACAAATGTAAGGAAAAGTATAGGTTGTTTTGAAATGAATTATGCATAAAAATGTACTCATAGTATTCCAAAATTATTGTCCTGTTTAAATTTTGACTTTTGATTCAATTTGTAGTAAAAATAAAAATCTAAACTGTATAATAATTTCGGGACGGAGAGAGCAGTAAATTTTGCAAAGACTCTCGCATATATGGATATCAAGCAAATAAATTGTGCAAGGACTCTATATAAGACGTCAGACGACATATAATGAGAGTTCTAACTAGTTATTGTAAAATTGCATTCATCATTGTTTAAATCAGATAAAGCCATTATTAAAACCATATATACATATATAATTACCTGTACAAGAAGCAAGGGAGAATGAACCATGGTATCATTTCCGGGAACATTAAAGAGGAGCTCATCTAAGTGTGGAAAAGGGACATGAGTTCCCCTTCTTCAACCTCTTCCATGGCCAATTCAGCATCCGCCTCCACGAACAACACGCCTTCTCCGGTGCACTCCACCACGAGCTTCTTTCAGGCCGGTCGTTCTCTTAACCGTCCTGCCAATGGATAGTAAAACACTAGCGCTTTTGCCAGAGCTTCTTTGATCACCTTCGCAGGGTCAACAACTTCATCCTTGCTTGATGACCTTCTATAAAAAAATATGTAGGGGATTTGAATCCGTAGAGTTTCTTGGTCATCGATGTTGGACAAAGGTTTAATTTCGACGGGAGTCTGGTTAGCCGGACAAATTAGTACCGGATTTTTGTCTCCTCGCTGTAAAACTCCTCAACTTTGATGATAACTCCATTTTTTTTTTCGGGCTTGGAGTTGTATGTTTTTATGGACATTTGGAAAAAAATAGCGTATTTATAAATTATTTTGGGTTTTAACGATTGTTGGGAGAGGGGGTAGAGAAGTAAGCATCATGCATTGTAGGCACGGAGGTTTATTAAAATGCGTAATGAAATAATACACCTCATAACCGGACTTTGGGGTATTTGATCATATCATTTGAAAGGGAATTTAGGAACCTTTAAGATTAAATGATATATATTGTTTCATCCTCGCGCTAATTAAGGATGAATTGTCGTATTAACACAAGATTGAGAATAAATAAATGTTATAAAGGGAATCATTAAGATCAAACTAGCTCCTTGTGATATTGAATGGAATTCTTAATGATAAATCAGAGGGGTAGAGAAGTAAACATCATGCATTGTAGGAATGGAGGTATACTAAATGCCTAGTTGGAATATACACCTCATAAGAATGAACTTTGGGTATTTGAGTATACCATTTGAAAGGGAACTTAAGGAATTTTATGGTTAGTTAAGACATATTGCTTCAACATAAACAAATTAATAAAAAAGTGATCTGTCATCACAGTAAGGATGAATTGATGTTACTACAAGATTTGAGTGTAAATCTGTTCAAGGCAATCATTGAGATCAAACTAGCTCGTTGTGATGTTGAATCATAATTCTGTATAATGAATCAGCAAATATGAATTGTGATGAGACTAATTAAAACAAATTGATTAAAAACATAATTATAAAATTAAATCACAACAAAAATGGTACTTGAGTAATTTACTGATGCAAAGTACATTAATTTTTTTGAGAGGTCCTTGGGAGGCAGCTTTCATTATGATTCTCGTGATATTTGAAAGAGAAAAAAAAAGGTATATAAAAATGATAGCCTGAAAAACTTGACTTTGAATGGTACTCTCTATCAAAATGATATAATATAAATATCCAATTTCTTGTGATTTAGGTATTTTACATATTTATCAAGAGATCGATAAAGTTATTCATAATATTTAAATTTTTTTGAGAATTATGTCATTGTGCTCAAATCCTATCATATTAAGCATGTAATGGTATTACCTTGCGATATTATTTGCTAGATGTATTCGTAAACCTTTTGCCTCGTTATTTCTGCTACAAAAAGAGAAGAGAGTCATCTTTAAACTAGAAGATTTTCGTAATGAGCGGTAATTACGTACTATCAATGGGTGTCAAATAATTCATAGTGCTACTTATGAAGTTCACTATTGTTGTTCTCTTTTAGTTTTTAACCTTTTTGCCTAGTTAAATGGTTTGGCTACGTATGAAGTTCACCTGTGTAAAAGGTTTTTCTTGAGGTTTTGTTTATTTATTACCCGGAAAATTCCATCATGCAAAAAAAGAAGAACAAAGGTGAACTTAAGAACTCTCAAAATCTAGGAATTTTAAAAGTATATTCACAATTGAATTTCTAAAAAATGGGTTTCCACTATGGATTACAAATTAGCCAGGAAATCCCATCGTGTAAAAAAATATATTGATATTTGGGAATTGATTAGTTCCATCGAATGTCTTCCCTCGTATAAATTGGTGTTGTATTAATTACACAATTGCTATTTGCTAATTAAGGTTTATAAACCTCTCCCAAGAAAAGAATAAGGTTTAAAATAAAGCTACTTGAGCAATGAAGTTGCATAAATGTGACATACAATAATTGGAACTCCTAATTTTAGATGGAGAAAACAGTTATGCTCATATGCTGTCCACCACGCACACAGAATCATAGTTTTGTTTCCAAAACAAGTACAGTTTTAATTTGATCACAAACATTTGACCATTATAAATTTTGGCTTGCAATAAAATATTTTTGCTACCTTTCTGATGTACTCCATTTGTTTTGAAATGATATTGTTCATTTTATAACAAATTATGTATTAAAAATAAAATACGTACTAAACAATTATTTTAGGACAAAAAATGTGAAGAGGTATCATTTTCTCCTTTTCTGCTTGCTCTCTTTTTTCCTCTGAACTCTGAAATCTTTCTTTAATTTAAACCATGTACTATATTCGGCCCGAGCGCTGTTGAATAAATAAATATGTAATTAAAAAAAATAACATTTTGTTGTGATAAACAACTAGTGTTTACCCCGTGTGTTGTGCGGGAAATATGCATGCGATGGTGTAAAATGTATTTAGTAAGGAGATGAGGGATTTATACTCTGTTCTAACACAATAGTCCACATTAAGTTTTCAAATTTTTATTAATTTTAGTACAAATTTCAAAATTCAATGCAAACTATTTTTTATGGACGGAGCGAGTTTCAGATTTTAATAGAGTTTAACTATTATAAACGTGATCCAATTTAAAATTTAAAAAGAAAATCAATAATGTTCAACTCTCAAGTTTTTTAAAAAATTAACAATTTGAAAAGTTTAAAATAATAAAATATTCACTAATAATTTTAAAATTATGAAATAGTCAATAAAATTTGAGATATTATTAAAATATAAAAAGATTAACAAATAAAAAATAATCACACATTGTTGGCTTGGTCTCTTAAGATAATGTAAATAATTTTTACCTTTCTATTTTATGCATGACCAATCTCTTACTAGATATCATATTGTATTTATTTTATAAAAAATCATAATTATCTTTATTATCTTTAGATTTTTGGTATAATGAAATATTGAGATTTTTTTATCTTAAGTCAAATCATAAAATTATTAATACATAATGGTAATATCTAATCTTTACGTCAACTGAGTTGGTGTTTTCAATTCCACGCCACATCAGTATTTTTTCATCCTCTATTAATATATGTAAATTATATAAGAAAAAAACAACCAAAAAGGTAAAGTAATATTGTCAATCCTCTTTGCCCGACCCCAATTGTCATTCACATGAGTACTTTTTAAAATTACATTGCAACAACGCAATAATACACCAATCCTCGTTGAGGCGTTGTATGTTATTCTCTAGTAATTTGTTATTTGACTTCTCTTTCCCGGGGCGGGGGGATTCAAGCCTCTAAATATAATTATAGATTATTCTACCAAAAAATTATAGAGTAGGGAAAATTCTTATTAGGGCATTGCACCTTTTATTATTCTAGATAAGGGTGTGAAATTTTTAAAATTCCTGTCAAATGCGTAATGATTGCTTAATGCACTAAATGCACTTTAATGACATTTCTACCCTTTTATTAATAACTCACATTTTTTTTCACCATAATTTTCGAAGGAAAAATATTTCATTAATTCTCATTTGAAATTGACACCCATGTAACTCTCCTCAAAAAGCCATGAAATTCAATAATCTCGGATACAAAAATGCAAATTTTTTAAAAATTTCATTTCATGATATCCTTAAAATTAATTAAGGGGTGTCTCTTTATAAAGAACTAATCCATCAAATCATTACAATTTGTACACATGATTGATGAAATAATTTTAAATAAAAATTGATCTTTTCATCCTAATGATTACAAACATACATTAAAAAAATAATAATTCATAGACTTCGCATGGAATGAATAATCAAGCCGCAGGGAAAATGTACATAAAAATAAAATCAAATTGTAAGGCATAAATTGAAAAGGAAGTATATTTGGCGTCTTTTTTTTTTTTTTTTCAAAAGTCACAAAAATATGCCGTGATTTCAGTTTTTTTTATTATTTATTTTGCTGATGGTATTGGATCTAAATTACAGCAAATCTTGTATGTCAAATTAAAGTGATATAAATTGTGCGATTGAGTTTGGTAGATTTTTTAAAACAAAAAAATTAAAAGAAGAATCCAATATAGCAAGCATAATATTTTGTCAAGGACAAAAACAAAATATATCATTAATCATTGCACAGAAAGG